CGCTGCACTCGGCGGGTTCATCATCATACAACGCGCCTTGGCTGCTCCGCCGGATGTCATCTTGTGTGTATCGACATACGGGACAGCCGCTTCCCTTCCACTTTTGTAGACACGTGCAGTGAAAGACGTGCTGACATATAATAGTCAGTAAGCCGGTGGTTTCATCCATACGCTCCAGACAAACTGGACATGTTGGCAGCTCAACGAGTGCAGGTGTAGGAGGCGCCAGCGGCCTGGTAGAGAGGGTAGCGGAAGGTATGGCGCTTGACTGCGTAGTTGAAATGGGCGTCGTCCGTACAGGGCTCGTTGCAGTGTGTGGAGAGAGAAGACCGCTCTGTGATCCAGCTGACAATGCGCCCGGCTCAACGGCTTGTATTTCGACGGTTTTCACGAAGACGACATGACACGTTTCGGGCTGAAGCAAGGGTGCGTTAGCATCGCAGCTGTGGATACTGCACCAAGCAATGCATGATGCACTTACCTCCATGCTGTTGAACACCTTTCCATTCCAATCCTTCTGCCACTCCTTGGCTTTCTTCCCGTTGCGGAATTTCATCAAAACCATATACCGGTTCGCCCGAGCGGTCTTGATCATGCGAAAATGAGTGACATCGTTCATAGTCGATTCGCCTACGAACCCCAAAAAGTCGGACGGCGACATATAAGAAGGAACGGCTAAGATGCATAGCGTCGTGCAATCCTCATCTGGCATATGCTCTTCTGCGCGCGGGGGCCGACTACTGCCGCTCAGTTCATCGTAGGATGTCCTCGCCGCGGCCGCCGAGCCTTTCAAGTACGAGGGATAATCCTCTTCTGTCAAGAATGGCGTCTCCTGAGCATCTCGGTATAGATGCACGATTCCCCAAACACTCTCCGAAGTGCTCTGGTCCAGCGGTATGTATTTTCCTTTGGTACGTAGGCCCCCCAAGATATCCGTTCCGATCCCGGTCGCGATGAGGTTATCCTTTGCATCCTTCCAGCCCGTCCGCTTCGCAGCAGTGGCGTCCTGCTCCGATGGAACCATATCAACGCACTCGATGGATACTTTATCAAGCCTGAGGTCTCGCTCGAAATCAGATGCGCTTGTCGGCGAACTCGTGTAGAGGTGAGGGGTATGGCGGTCTGCGACGTGGGTTGTAGTGTCTGAGCTGTGGGTTTCGGCGGAAGTGTTTAATGAGTGGCGTGGATGTTTCCCATGCGCTTGATGACGAGGGGATCGATGTGCCCACGGTGAGTGCCGGCGCTTCTGGAAAGGGAGTAGAGCTTCGCATGCGGAGTCGAAGGATAGCGACGTCGAGTGCTTGTCCACGCCTGGGTATGTGCCGTGGAGGTCAGAGTGCGGGCGAGCAAATAATTCGATCGCAATGTGGTAGAAGTAGGAGGGCATCACGACTGATGCTCACATTTCCAGCGCGCTACAGGTCTGCAACTGCTCCTCCTGGGTCAACTTATGAATGGAAGCTACTTTCCTGTCCCACGCCGCCTTGGGACGGTATCAGTCACGTGTCCAGATACGGGTGGCGAAGACGGTGACTCACGTTGGGTTTTCTGTGACTATTTATGTTATATAGGTAGATGAAGTTGAAGCTATTCTATTCAATAATTACAGTAGTTTCGCCTCATGCGTTATGTAAGGTGGTAGGTACCGTCTAGAACTGCATGTTGATCACGTCTATGCTAGCGCGCGGGGTCTACCTCAAGCCTTCTACTAATCGCACACTGCGGAATATAGCGGATGGAATATAATTATTGATTCCTAGTAGGTAAAAGAATGACGCAAGGCACCATGGAAGATGGTGACACTAAGGTATGCCCAATTTATCCGTATCATAGAAAACCGACTAAAACAACCGTCCAACGCCATGCAGGCCACTCAACCGTAGATGAGCCGTGCTAAAGAAGAAAGATCAAAATAAGGCATTAGTTTCCGCCACGCAGACGGAGCACCAGGTGCAGGGTGCTCTCCTTCTGGATGTTGTAGTCGGAGAGCGTACGTCCATCTTCCAACTGCTTACCAGCGAAGATGAGACGCTGCTGATCCGGGGGAATGCCCTCCTTATCTTGAATCTTGTTCTTAACGTTATCAATGGTATCCGAGCTCTCCACCTCCAGCGTGATCGTCTTGCCGGTAAGCGTCTTCACGAAGATCTGCATACCACCGCGGAGACGAAGGACAAGGTGAAGGGTCGATTCTTTCTGGATGTTGTAGTCGGACAGGGTACGGCCATCTTCCAACTGCTTACCAGCGAAGATCAAACGCTGCTGGTCCGGAGGAATACCCTCCTTATCTTGAATCTTGGTCTTGACGTTATCAATTGTGTCGGAAGATTCGACTTCCAATGTGATCGTCTTTCCCGTAAGAGTCTTGACGAAGATCTGCATACCACCACGGAGACGCAGAACGAGGTGAAGGGTGGATTCCTTTTGAATGTTGTAGTCGGACAGGGTACGGCCATCCTCCAGCTGCTTACCAGCAAAGATCAAACGCTGCTGGTCCGGGGGAATGCCCTCCTTATCCTGGATCTTGTTCTTGACATTATCGATAGTGTCAGAAGACTCAACCTCAAGGGTGATAGTCTTTCCGGTCAGGGTCTTGACGACTAGAGTGAGGTTAGTATAGGGTCCCCAGTTGAAGTGGCCAAGGTGGCAAATAAGGTTTAGGACAACTTACAAATCTGCATACCACCACGCAGGCGGAGCACGAGGTGAAGGGTAGACTCCTTCTGGATGTTGTAATCACTGAGCGTGCGGCCATCCTCCAGCTGCTTTCCAGCGAAGATCAGACGCTGCTGGTCAGGAGGGATACCCTCCTTGTCCTGGATCTTGGTCTTGACGTTGTCGATGGTATCGCTCGACTCCACCTCAAGGGTGATAGTCTTACCGGTGACTAGATGGAAACAAGCAGTCAGAAGATGGATTCATGATGCTGAGCTTGAGGGGTGGATAGGAGGAATACTCACGGGTCTTGACGAAGATCTGCATGTTGTAGAAGCGCAGTAAACGGTGTATGTGCTTAGGTGGAGTGTTGTGGAGAGGATTCGCAGATGGAGATGCGCGAAAGGTGAGTGGTAGGGAGAGAGGTAGGAGAGTTGAAGAAGGGTTGGTAGTACGAGGAAGGAAGAGAAGGCTTAAGTAGTCAGGAGAGGAGTGAATGAGGGGAGGCGGCGGAGGCGAAGCGCCTTAGTCAGAGGTCGGTCAATGATAACGTGATGCAAGGGAATGGGCTTAGAGGTCAAGTCGCAATAAAGGGAAAAGAGCAGCAGGGACCTTAGCCCGGGCGGGTGTTAGCCTGTCAGACGAAGTACCTTTCGGGCGACGCTTCTGGCACCTCCTGGGGGATTCCCTTGCCATCCGGGCAATCGCACCGGAATCCGCCTGGTCTGCGTCATTTGGTTCTCCAATACGCGTTGTTGCTGAAGCGCTGGGGGAGAATCTACTAGAATGGTTCTGGCTGGGTTGACTCAGGCTCCCACGGCAGCCACCGACTTTTGGCTTTCTACGGGAATGGTCGCTGAAAGAAAAGACTGGTACGCTATACGAAAATTCTGTCTTGCAACAAACTTAGATAACGGGCAAAGCCTGATCCCATGTGGGAAGCCCTCCTGATGCCGTGGTGAGTTGCAGCAAGTTGCCGGGGCCTGATATCAGTCCGGGGGAGTGTCTACGAGCGGCCAGGACGACTCCGTCCGTACCCGCCACTGACGCCACCAGTCGGTATCTCAGCCCGACCCAATCCAGGCCGCAGCCGTGTTCCTGAAATAGAACCCGTTGAAATTCGCTGAGAGTGTACGGAGTACTCTCTGTTGTCTATGTATTTGCTCCTCATTGTTATTATCGTCTCATCGGGTGAGCTGGGGGTGATCAGGGAAGTAATGCGACAACTGGCATTGCGGCAACAGCAACGGCGATGACGTGTGAGTTGGGGGCATTCCTTATCGGAAAATGGGGGAAGGGGCTCCTCTCCAGTTGTTATCTGAGCCTTTCGACGGCGCGGCCTCGGGAAGTAGCCTTAGGCCATCGCTAGCGGCTGGAGATGGGGTCAGGTGATCGTCGCATCCGGAATGCCCCGCTTTTGGCCGGGCACCACTTCAAGTCTTCTTTGGGCCGGAGCATCGATGACTGCATGCATGCCACAGTCATGCCGGCTATACCAGCTCATCGTTTGCATCATCACCATCGAGATAAGTCATTTACTCACCAGTCGTGTAGTTATCAATTGTATCTTTTGATAACTGTCGCTTGGCTGCGTCATTATCGTGGTTGACCATGCTATGTGCCACACTAGTAACTATTGTATTGGGACGGCTATTAGAAAGTTTCCCCAAGACGAACTAGTGTTTCTTCTGTTTTGGAGGGCGACCTACAAACCTCTATCGCGTCCAATTCTTTTAGCTCGTAGAACAGGATTGACCTTCCATTTATGGTTACGTTGGCTCGGTATATTTCTTCTGCTTTGAAGAGTAAACAAAGAAATGTGGTACCATTCTTCCCGTTGAGGGATCCGCTCTCCAATCAACAAACCAACCATAAGTAGCCGGCAAGGCGCATGCGGGCAAGCTGCTGTCGGTGTGAGTACCGTCCCCACCCAACAGCTAGGCATAATGGGTGGGTTTGTAGAGTGTGGCCTTGACCCATACTCGAGCTGTAGACTTTAGAGTGGACCAACAAGGTACTAGCAGTGCCAAGATGACATATGGGTTGTAGTACTTTGGTAGCAACAGAGAGGTCCTGAGATGTTTGTAATCCTCGATCAGCACAGAGGTGAGCAAAACAGAAACAGTGCATACATAGCAATTGCACACGCGTACGTGGCGCGACAGTGGGATCCGCATTAATAGTGGAGGGGAGTCGCCTCAGCTCTATTCAGACCTCACAGAAGATACCTGATCCTCAACCCATGCAAATAAGACTGGACTGAAGAGCACGTATCTCTGATAGCAAAAAACCGATCCATCATAGGAGACCGGCGCTCTACCATTGAGCCAATAGACCAATGGAAACGATCTACATGGGACTCGAACCCACAACCTCCGGTTTTCCAAACTCAACCAATGAGCCAACGGACCGATTTAGGCGGGAGCTTCCGAAAAGTGTTTTATCTTCGGTAACTTGCTTGCCTCCAAAGAATGACAGCTGCCAGCAGATGAACGGGCCTTACCGATCAGGTGCTTTATTCGGCTTTTGTTTACATTTCCATTGTAGTATGTGCGAGTAAACTGTAGGCATGTTCCTAAAGTTCTGACTACCTCTAAAAAGAAGATCAAGCCTTATGGATATACCCATCTATATAGCTGTTACTAATGATTTTCAGTGAAGAAGAACATTCAACATCACTGCAGGGAGTAGCTCAGCTCTCAGCCGTAGGGGAAAGTAGATCTATCGTAGCGGAATTCACCTATCTCACCTCCATCTTTCACTCACCCTTAAATTAATTCTTCCCAGCTCCTTCTCGTTGCTCTCGTTGCACCTTCTGATATGGTTACAGATAAGGTGCTTATACTGTCCAAGCTTGGTGTATTCGAGTAATCACGCCCTGGTTCTTCCCTGCCCCTCCACCGCTTGAGATAGCGTTCTTCGAACCTTCATCTTCATTTGACACACGACATCAAGCTGAGAATAGTTCCGCCCAAGCAGCATCATTGCTTCCCAGACGCCCCTCTATTGCCCACAATGTACGACTGTGAAACCTGTCCCCGCTACTTTAACAGCTGGTATGCTTGTCGCCAGCACATGAACGACACGGGCCATTGGGGGATTCGGTACGAATGTGAGATGTGCGATGACGACTTCTCTACTCAATGGGAAGCACAGGAACATATGGATGCCTATGGACACCATGCACCGAAGATTCCCTGCGAGTCATGCGGGAAGAGGTTCTACAATCAAAGGTCAGCGGATCAGCACATGGATGCTATGGACCATTGGGCTCCAACATGGCCATGTGAAACTTGCACGGAAATGTTTCATACCAAAGAAGCTGCAGAGCAGCACATGCGAGCCAAGTCCCATTACAAGAACTACTGCCACCCCTGCAAGCGGCGTTTCGAGAATGCGAATAACCTCAAAATGGTAAGACCTTCTATACCCTCAAACATCGTAATTGAGCTCAGACCTTCGCGTATAGCACCTGAACTCAAAGATCCATCGCGGTAAAGACGTCCTCTGTCCATTCTGCAATACTGCTTTCACTACGGCCACTGGCGCTGCTCACCACCTTGAAACCGGCTCCTGCAAAAACGCTTCAGGCCTCAACCGCGAGACTATCTACAAGTTCGTTCATAGCCGTGACACCCAGGGCGTCATCACCAGAAAGCTGCTCGAATGGAATGAGGATGACAATGTTCAATACAAGGCTAATTCTCGTGCATACAATGGTGCCTCCTGGGAATGCTACTTGTGCCATCGGAAATTTAACAGCTTGACCGCACTCAATCAACACCTCAATTCGCCCGTGCACAAGCAGAAGCTATATCATTGCCCGAACGCAAAGTGTGGGAAACAGTTCGTTACCATAGCTGCCCTGTTTAACCACCTGGAGAGTGAATCTTGCGCCTTTGTGCGGTTTGAGAAGGTACAGCGACAGGTCCAGGATGTGTTTCGTGGCCAGAGAGCTATTGCTTTCTGAGAACAGCACAACACTATACTGCTACTTAGAAAGCTCATCACTGGGTTCTATCTGATGTCTGCTAGTATGGTTCTAAGCGTTGTATTTCACAGGCCTACTAACGAATGCTGCCGTAAGCCAGCTACGCAGGGCGCAACCTTGCTACAAGACTACTTCCTTTAGCTGATCTGCGGCATCTGCCTAACTTTGTGCATTAAACTGGTCTGATACTTTGTCCCTAACCGCTGGCAGCAACTAAAATCTCTTGTCGAAACCTCGCCTCAAGGACTATCAAATATTAGTCTTTCAAGGATAGATACGAACATAGTCTGCGGACCCTATCAGTTATTCCGGGTTAAGAGTTTGTTACTATGATGTCTCGCATGCCAATCTCATGTTATCACAGTTTAGTATCTGGAAATCAGAGAAATGCGTTAACTACATTCCTCTACCATCACCAAATAGGCTGTGTTCGTTATCCGTGGACAAATGGCCACCAGCGTTCTCCAGCAGTGTAATACTTAGGCATCAAGTAGATCAGCAGACAAGCAACTCCGTTACAGCCATGCACATCCATATCGCTTCCCCCATTGAGGAAGTAGGAAAAGAAGATGAACATTTACATATTACCCAATCCAACTATCATACAACAAATCATACTTTTCTACTGATCTGACTTCACCACCTCGGCACTATTGTACTTCACTAGACAAGAAGGAAAACATCACAATCTCACCCGAATGATATGGAAAGAAAAAAAGCTAAGATATCTTGATATTGGTCATCGAGCGTAACGAACCCGTTTCGTCTCCATCCATCCCACTCCAACCCCTGAGGCATACCACCACATTCGCGATGCATTTGTGACGGATCAACCCCTTTCAATAGTCAATCCTCGGATTCCAAACAATTGAGAAGAATAAATAGTCCGGCCACATTAATCAGGAAATATGAATTACATCCTCAGTCCAAGTGATATTACTACTTGCTAGGCGTAAATTCCCCCCTCCGCGCCCCCCCCCCCCAATGTGTGAAGGTTACACACATTCAGTCGTGGTAAACTATATTATAAGACTAAAAGTCGACTGATCATCATTTAGTATAATGAAAGATCGTGAAGAATTTGGCAGTGATGACGATGATTGTACCCAAAACTTAGATGATGAATGATGAAAGTCTCTGAGAGCTCAAATCCAGGAATGGCGTATTAACCCATTCCATGGCAGTCTTTATGGGAACGTGTATAATGAGTTAGCATACTGTAGGAATGGTCGAAGTACTTATGTATCTGTAATGAGAAGTTGTTCTGTTATGGTCGAGAGGGTTATTTATCTTTTGGGCTACTAGTTTCTATCTATATATCTATATATTGCATCATGATGGAAGCAGTCGCTTGTTGGAAAAAGCAGAAAGAATAAAGGAGGGAGAGCATTGTTCAATTGGCAAAATAGTAGTAGGGAATTTGCTATGTAGCTGTACTAGTCTATCATGCTCATTTCTATGCGAAGTGGTTCGCTATCTGGGGTCATGTATCCATATTACGCAGGATACTACATGCTCAGATCGTTTTGTTAGTTATTGGTAGTAGTGGCTAGGCCACTAGCCTTATAACATTGATGAGATGCGAGATTCACACACATTGTATATTGTATACTATGTCTATGCGGCTTCTATATATATCATAGCTATCCACGAGCAGGGATTTACACCTCTTCAATAAGGGTTTGGTAATCTAAATCATTATATAGTTAAGATCCGAAAGGGCGATAGGCAAGAGGCATCGTAGAATATACAAGTTTAGATGCAATACTTCATATGAGTTACTCCCTATTACGAGTATATTAGCAATGAGTCTTAACCCAATTAATCCCCTCTCCATCGGCATATAACCCTTAGTTTCAGTTTTAAGTTATCATCGGGATTTACTCTTCTCTCGGGCTTTGACAGTGGATATCAAGATATCCAATACTGCCATCAGCCCTTCCACCTAATTGGCCCTCACATAATTATAACTCCAACACATATAGTTCGAATCAAGGCACACACACAGTAGTACTTAGCACATTTACCAAGACCAAGTACATACCGCTACTAGGCAAGCCAAGCACGCGCACAGGCTGAATTATATCTTCAACCAAGCCTTAACAGGCAGGTATTAGTATTAATATTAGTATTAATATCGAGAAAAACACGTATGTAGTTTGCCACTGGCGACCGTGTCTTGGGGGACCATTAAGCGAGGAGAATGGCGTAGATCTGAAACGTAGGTCGAATGAAACAAGATCAACGTTGTTTGTGGCTATTTAGTTTTCTTAGATGCAGATGTTCGGAGATGGTCTATCTAACTTGACTGTATTCGGTTTAAGTTCGCCCGGAGAAACATTCCAGCGAATGGTGTGTTGGCGTTGGTGTGGGATGATGCTCATTACTTTAGGTGTAGTACTCTTTCTTACTCTAATCTGATGGGATAAGTAAGGGAGGTAAATAGTATGTGCTCTAGGCCCATAAAATGGTGGGATTTATGCTCATGTGACTATTGTGTGAGACTTCTGGATATTTTGTCAAGTGTCAGAGTAGGGGGTCAGGTCAGACCATAAGCGCCACTGCACATACTACCCATAGATGGGGGTGGCATCGAGAACTGGTATACTACTAGTAGTAGTCGGTAACTATATTACAGCTACTATCAACTGATTGGTCGAGGGTATACCTACCTTGTTCGGGTCACACAATAGTGTCACCTAGTCCATATGGACTGGGTGGCTGACAGTGGATGGCTCTAGCCTCCTCCTCCTTGCCCGATGAGGACGTTGTACTGTCAGACTAAAGTAGGACACTACTGTGGCAGGTACTCCATACGGGCTGCAGTGGAGGCGGCCAGGCTGACAGAAGGATAATGGACAACCGAATTTCCCCCCTCATGCAGGTTGATGTCATGGCTGCGCGAGACAACCCCCCGACTAGCGCATGCTGTATGATGGATATGTATACTGATCACACGCGGGTGAGATTCTATCTGATTTGAGAGACGGCAGATGATGGAGTGTATGCCTGATGTCGGGAATTCAGCTGAAGTGGAAAAATAATTCCTGGTATCCGCGCCAAATGATGCTGGGATAATGGGTAGGGGCATTATTTGTCAGTCTCGTGAATGGCTTTCATGCTTGATACAAAGTACATGACCACAAACGAAGATGATGACCGAGACGGACGACCGGCCCACTCCGAGAAGGATTCCTTCGAGAAGCAGCATTGGGTTTTCACACACGGTACATTGACCAGGGTTAGTCGGGAGCATGATAGACGGTTCGGATTGGAGCCCCAGAGGTTCCTAATTGAGGTGGCAGTGGATCGACCAGCGGGAGGCAGACGGCGAGAATTGCCCGGAACGTGGATTGGCGTCGAGAGAGCCCCGAGACAGGGGAACCCCCGAGTCGCTTCCCCGGCATGACTCGCCCTATC